CTAGTAGCGTCCGATCGCTCCTAGTAGTAAGGCCAGGAGCCCCTAGTGGCGTCCTTGCTCCTAGTAGTAAGGCCAGGAGCCCCTAGTAGCGTCCGATCGCTCCTTGTAGCGATGCCTGGAGCCCCTAGTAGCGTCCGATCGCTCCTAGTAGCGATGCCACGAGCCCCTAGTAGCGTCCGATCGCTCCTAGTAGCGATGCCAGGAGCCCCTAGTAGCGTCCGATCACCCCTAGTAGCGATGCCACGAGCCCCTAGTAGCGTCCGATCGCTCCTAGTAGCGATGCCAGGAGCCCCTAGGAGCATCCGATCACTCCTAGTAGTGATGCCGCGAGGTCCGATCGATCCTAGTAGCAATGCCACGAGCCCCTAGATCGCTCCTAGTAGCGATGCCAGGAGCCCCTAGTAGCGTCCGATCACTCCTAGTAGCGATGCCACGAGCCCCTAGTAGCGTCCGATCACTCCTAGTAGCGATGCCACGAGCCCGTAGTAGCGAGCCCCTGGTAGCGTCCGATCACTCCTAGTAGCGATGCCAGGAGCCCCTAGTAGCGTCCGATCACTCCTAGTAGCGATGCCACGAGCCCCTAGTAGCGTCCGATCGCTCCTAGTAGCGATGCCAGGAGCCCCTAAGCATCCGATCACTCCTATTAGCGATGCCACGAGCCCCTAGTAGCGTCCGATCACTCCTAGTAGCGATGCCAGGAGCCCCTAGTAGCGTCCGATCACTCCTAGTAGCGATGCCACGAGCCCCTAGTAGCGTCCGATCACTCCTGGTGGCGATGCCAGGAGCCCCTAGTAGCGTCCGATCACTCCTAGTAGCGATGTCACGAGCCCCTAGTAGCGTCCGATCACTCCTAGTAGCGATGTCACGAGCCCCTAGTAGCGTCCGATCGCTCCTAGCGATGCCAGGAGCCCCTAGTAGCGTCCGACCCCTAGTAGCGTCCGATCACTCCTGGTAGCGATGCCACGAGCCCTTAGTAGCGTCCGATCACTCCTGGTAGCGATGCCAGGAGCCCCTAGTAGCGTCCGATCGCTCCTAGTAGCGATGCCAGGAGCCCCTAGTAGTAGCGTCCGATCGCTCCTAGTAGCGATGCCAGGAGCCCCTATAGTAGCGATGCCAGGAGCCCCTAGTAGCGTCTGATCACTCCTAGTAGCGATGCCACGAGCCCCTAGTAGCGTCCGATCA